TTTCAATTGGAGTTTGGTGCAACTGCAAAAACGAATAGGCCTACATGTACATCTTCTAGTTCTATTGCTAAAATGAGAGTCGGGCATGGTGGATCGATCGAACAAGAACATGTACATGTGAAACGATCAAGGGTCAAAGTTAAAATACCACTGCGCAATTGTGACCAAAAAAAACCACGGACGACGCACGACGGGCGACACACGACGGGCGACGCACGACGGCAGATATGGAATTCCATACTCTTTGAGCCTTCACTTAATTGTGCCCAAAATATAGGTTTGGCCCAGACTGATGTAGGCTTAAACTGTGTAAAAAATAAAAACACGGCGCAAAGCAAAGGTAGAGTTGTCCTAAAATAAAAAAAGTAAGGATTACTCAATCTAAGTCTGTTCCTTTCCGTCGTTGAGGGTGTAACCTGATATTTATTTACAAGTCACGCTGACTGATACAATTTTGAAAATTACATGCATAGGCAGCTACATGGTATGTCTAATTTCTGAACATTGCCAACCTGATTACAAACTGGTTCGAAGTAACAAAACTAAGGAAGCTTAAATAACCATCCATGTTACCGCGTTACTGAGTTAATTTATCAGAGGCGTGTCCCGGTCTCAAAAGAAACCCCCCCCCAAAAAAAAGACTATTAAATCTTTTTTTCACTCGTGAAGAAATTGGAGTTTTACCCCCCCCCGCAACATAATTCCCCCGCTGTCCAGGGACAGTGCCCCCGGGCGTCAGACTGACCAAGGGTGATATATCCCACATGAACAAATATTGGACAATTTTAACAGGGCCTGGATTTCATGAACAATAGAGGTAATTGAGGGTGCTTGTGAAAAAGACTTTTTGCTGTCAAGGAAAAAAAACAGCACAGCGCCTATCGCCCAGGTTGGACGCTGTCTTCATTTCATTACGACTAACGTCCTGGCCTATCGATCCGTCGGGGGGGGGGTTACGGTCAGGCAGCTCAGGAGTCCACCTGGGCTACATAGCGCCCTCCTATGGCTAGCAGCAGCCGTGTGCATATTACAGATGCCATAGTGACGTTTGCGCGTCACTTGGGTACGGGTTACTTTGACGAAGGAGAGAAAATCTTATGAAATGTGATGTGAATGGACCAGTTTTATCGAAGGTACGTATGCGCATCATGTCACTCAATTTTCGATGTTTTTAGGAAAAGTATGATAGTGCATCAGTGGTTTGGGTTGTGATTTTAGGTTTGTGTCGGAAATAGAAATCTTCAGGTTGGTATTGCGTGTTATGAACCGCCTTGTCAACACGGTTTTACAGTCACTTGCCCCATATTCAGGGCCGGGTTTACCACTTTGCCGCACCCACAAGCTTTTTGTCCATTTGCCACTTCACCCACGCGCCGCTTCGCCAGCACAATATTTCACGTGGTAGCCTAACAATGCACGCTCTGATAAATTTCATAAGCACCTAGGCCTAGGCTATGATTAATTAACAAATCTCTGCATCTCCCTATGTCCCCTGCACAAACACCCTCCAACAAGGGTGTTTGCGCAGTATGGAGAAGCAGAAGCCTTACTGTGTTACTTCCAGGACTGGAAGGCACTACTCTGCAGGCCATACAGATTTCTGACGTTTGATGGTTCCTTACCAAACTGCATTTTGCAAAAATCCCTACAATAATAGGCCTAATAAATAATAATAATAATAAATTATATAGCGCAAATTAACTTAAAAATAAGACCAGATGCGCTTTACAAAATTAATTATATAAAAATTACAGATAAGATCAATAAAATTCAAACTAAAAATTAAAATATCACGAATATGCTCTCGTAAATAAAAACATTTTAACTAAAGATTTAAAACAATTAAAATCTTGTTCGGCTCTTATATCATTGGGAAATTGGTTCCACAGTGCAGGGGCTGCTGCAGCGAATGATCTGTCGCCAAGTCTCTTTTAAGTGGCATGTGGTGGAACCAAAAGTAACTTGTTGTTATATCTCAAGGCATAGTTGGACCTTTTTTTTATCTTAATTAGATCACAAATATGTATATAGCCCTCCAAGTTATGTCCCAAACTGCTCTTTCTCGATCAAATCTCCCAAAAATCTAACAGACTACATATGTTGTGACCTATTGTTTTAGGAGCCTGTAACCCACTCTTGTGGCCAAAATCAGAGCTTTTTCATACCAACCTTGCCTCTCATCACAAGACGATCCACCCACACCTGCATTCTGTTGCCGTTACATTTGCCCGATACGTCACACACTCTACACGTCTCAAAAACAGGTGCAGCGTAATGAATGTTCAATATTAGTCTGGATACCAGACCTGATGATTCCGACTATGTTGTCTCAGGAGTGGCTTGGGTATTCCATGCTATTCTTGCTACATGCACAGGTGCCGCACCTGCTGTTAGCTTTGCATCGGTTTACATCAAAGACAACCTCAACCGTTTCTAAATCCATCATATCCTGATATTGCTAATATTTGATCCTTTTATCTTTCCTGGCATTCTGGATGGATTCGGGGGGAGTTGGGTAGTTCTATCAATTTGTCTTCCTTTCTTTTCAGTGTTGACAAAGGACATGGGCAAAGTGGTCAGTGGGTAAAGTGGTAAATGGGCGAAGTAACCAACACCGCCAACAAGGTGTCAAAACTTTTGTTTTGTTGTCTTATTTGAAGATGGCGCACATGCTTGGTAGTGAGTATTGCATAGAGAGCCTGCAGAGTGATGTGCGAGACCTTCAGTCAGCTGTCCTTGATGTGTCGTCCAGAGCTGGTCCCATTCGTTATCCATCATGGAAATTCCCAGACAAGGTGAAATTGAAAAATAGGCCCTATTTATTTGGAACTTAGCAGTGACTGTTCTTTCATGTTCAAGGCTGTTTTTTTTTGGCTATAATTTTTTCTTAAACATTTGTGACAGATTTCCAGTGACCTGGACATTCCTGCGTTGCTGGAGGAGCACAGCTTCTCAGATGACACTGAGGACAACCAAGTTGCTCACATCATCCTGTTCGAACTTGTGATTGACAGGTTAGCCAAGTCACATTACACATTCTGTCCTATTTTTGCCGGCAACCTTCTGAATCCTCTAAAAGCATTTGCAGTGAAGAAAAATGATGACAAAGATTTGTACTTAAAACTTTCAAGCGCATTTGTCCCATGCGAATAATAGTGGCCAGGATGTACCATCCTTAGTCCTACAAATAAATGTTAGTTACTGCTTAGCAGCATTTAGTGGAAATGTCTAAACAGCTTACAAGAAGTATGTATTTGCATTTATAACATTTTTACTGGTTATCAATTCTGCTTAGAAAACTTTGCTATGGATACATAGTGATGTTTCTTGCTTGCAAGCTCTCTTTGGAGTTGTCCCAAGAAATATTTCCAAAACTTACCCAGATATTGCGAAAGATTCAGTAAAACTTCACAGTCAGACATTTCTAATGTAAAGAAATGTTTACAGATTTTCCGTGGTTTGAATTGTTGTCACCGTAATAAATGATCATTTTCCAGCTCCCTTAATATATCGCCAACAGACTTTGCAGAAAAGTACAGTATTTTAGAATTCTGGGTCATTCTATAAATTGCGGGTTTCATTTTTGTGAGTCTCTGTCACATCCGACATATCATTATGTAAGTTTTGAAGTCATTCTTTAATTTCAAAGAGTACTTACATGATGCAAATTAATTGCCAAACAAAAGCGAAATATTTCAAAGCCAATTTCAGTGATCTCTGTGTATCTGTATTTCCATGTCAAATTTACATAGGTCAGGTGAAGCAGGGACACAAACATGTCACACTTTTGGACACCCCAAATTTGTAGAACGACCCTACTCTCTATTTTGGAGCCTATCTGCCCCCCCCCCCAAAAGTCTCAGGTTTCTTGTCAGGAGCTGGCTTCAGAAGTGGCAGGGCGATGCAGCTTTCTTTTTTTACCCTTACTTGGTTTTTTTCTGGAAATAATGTACGTATAAACATGCGATTTCTATCGCGATTGCGTGTGCACATAACGCCGGCATTTTCGAGATTGTACATGCACACAGGACAAAAGACCACCTCATTTGTCTGGTTCTCAGATGTAAATGTATAAAACAGAACTGATGTCATCTGTAAAAGAGTGCCCAACTAAATGCATAGAGAACTAGAGGGACTCCTTTACTGTACATATTACTCAACCATAACCCATCAAAAACACGTTATAATTATGCAGTAGCAGGATTCCAGTCCATTAAGCAAGTTTGGCACCTTTTTGACATCGTTTTGTACGCGCTGACCAGAAACTGGAGACCTTTTTTTTGCCTTATGTGGTATGCTGACTGTCATTGACCGTCAGAGAAATTACCTGCCTAGAACTGATCTGGAAGTAAGATTCTGTTGATACATTTTGTTCCTAAAATGCTCCTGCTACAGAATGATGCTGCTTCTGCAAGGCTTCACCCGATTCGTCGAGATGCTACTGTCTGGTTCCCAAGGTCGCCCACCGACCTCCGGCCTGGTCGTGGGCTCTCAGATGTCCATCGGCCTGGTCATCAAAAAGTTCTGGAACAAGATGGTCCAGCTGAATAACCTGTGCCAACAGCTTCAAGCTGAGGTAAAGAGACAGTCATTGGGTACGGGAAAACAACTCCCTTGCCATTAGAAAACGTACCTTGAGTTGCGACCAAGCTGGCATACATATTTCACATGTCCTTAAAGGTGAGGATGCATTTGAAGAAATAAATACGTTGTTGGTCCTGAGACCTGTATGTGTTTAGCCCTTGTACTAAAGGGGTTAAGGTAGCTTCTATTGGGCTGTTTAAATTGATCTCAGGAAAATTGTAGTGAACATAAGTACATTGTATTTGGTATTGTCATTAGCTACTGTATCTCCTCAAATCACCTTTCTTTGTTATGACTATGGGAAAGTAGTGTAATGACTGAGTAATATACAAGAAAATAACGACGTATTTCTCCTGTCATTTTCCTCAGAACAAAGCCAAAAGTAAAACTGTCAATAAATTGGAAGTCATCAACCAGGAACTGCAACTCCAAAGCCTTGAAACTTCCAAGGAATTAAATCTTAACAGCCCTGGTGATTCCTTGAAACCCACCAACCCCAAGACTTCAAACTCCCCTCTTGCAAAGTCACTCAGTCCTGGATTTGGTGGTTTGTTGCCGCCCAATTCCAGCAAGGATCATTCATCCGTGCCTCTTAACTCCGGAGATTCCCACAGTGCAATAGCCAAGGACATACGGACGGTTTCCTCTCAGACACTGGAGACTGCTTTTGTGCCATGCGAAGCTTGCGCCTGCGTCCAGCTGAGCTTGAAGCAAGTGGCAGACTTAATCACAGAGGTCTGCAGCTCCCAGGGGCTGCAGTCTTCGATCGCCAAACACCGGACCCAAGGAATCGACGTCACCATGACAGCTGCGGACGTGACACGGTGGACGACCCAGCAGGGTAAAGATCTCAACCAGATCAAGCAGTGCCTTCAAGATCTCCTGGACCAAATCGACCCACTGAAATCGGACCTCTCCGCCTCCGAAGCAGAATGCTCAGAGCTGAAGAAAGGCATCAGTGAAAAGTCCCTGGAGCTCAAGAAGGAGAAGGAGGCACGGGAGGCACAGCGGAAGCAGCACCAGACCAAGCTCAAGGAGGTGGAGAGGCAGCACGCGGAGTCCATCGTCATCGTCCATCAGAGGTTGGAGGAGATCAAGAAAGGCAAGAAACAAGATGAAGAGGAATTGTCAGCACTCAAGAGGGAACTGCAGAAACAGTGCGAAGCACGACAAGTTTTAGGTTTGTAAAATGCCAGTGTTGAAAGAGTCGTAAGTTTTTCCTATCTTACAACAGAAAGACGCTTCATTGTTAAAATCTGTTCGGCTTGCCCTCCAGGGTTTGAATTTCATTTAAAAAGTCGCTGGACTAGCGATTGAGTAGGAAATGAAATTTACTGGATAGAAACCACTTTTACAAGACCACTGCATTACTTCCTAAGAAAACACCATCTTTGCATTAGCGGCCCTTGTTTTGGATTTTATGGAATAAACGAAGAATGATTTCTGTTTGATTGCACCCTCACACGAGATGAACGGGTAACACCAACGCTGGAATGCATGGGTGTTGCTAACAAAGTTGATTTTGTACTACATTTATGTTCAGTTTTAGGGATTTGCTAGAGTTATTCGGCCGAAAAACTTTTACCACTGGCTAAAAATACCAGATCACTCCACTTCATCAGACTGACATCATAATCAGCGAACCCAGTCCTGTGGTCCAGTGCAAAATTCAAACCCTACCCTGTGAAATTGAATAAACGTTTGCCCTTTTTGTGCTATATACCCAAAGAGATTCTTAGGCCATGTCTGAAACGGTCTTCGAGAGCTATGGCTATGTCTGCCGTCAACATGCGGCCATGAGACCTAGACCTAGCCCTGGCCATAGGATGGGACGTTACTTTTCTCTCAGACTGTGTCTGAAATCAGATGTCTGGAATTTGGAAAAGACTTAGACAAGATTCCGATATGGCCTCGTATTATTTTTGTTTTTGCAGAGGAAATAAATCAAAGACTGACACAGGAAGCCGAGGGGAACACCTCCAATCGAGCAACCGTGCTGAGACTAGAGAGCCAAGTGCAAGAGCTGAGCAGGCAACTGCAGACAACCAGTGAAGAGTTGCAGAGTACCAGCAAACAGCTGGGCAAGGAGCAGGCTCGGAATAGAAGCATTGACAAGCACGGCCAGGTAAGTGAAGGTTCACTGTATGGAACTGTGCAGCGCTCAGATGAAGAGTAGAACTGTACTGCAAGGGTCGTGAAGGATGGAGCAGGGGATTGAAAAATTCAAGAAAAGGGCAGTTGGTATGATTTCAGGAATGTGTATAGGCTCAGTGAACAGGGGTAATAATGGGCACCTTGTGGTGTTGTACCTTAAACACCAATGCTTGTGGATGTGTGAGCTTATAAATAATGATGATAACAGTTTTTATGTAGTACTTCTAACTAAGATCAAAGCGCTTTCCCTTATTTTCACCCCTGCTTATTGGGCCATTGGATCATTCCAAATACCATCTTAGTTCCCTGGGAAGTATACAACCCGATGAGCCACTCTATTATTATTATTGTCATTTTGTAGTTTATAACCTATCCACTGGGTAAAGCCCAGAGCCCAAATTTGGCCTGAATTTTGTCAGCTTAGGCAGCAGTGAGTGACACAATTTTCTCTGTTGGGCCCTTTTCCTTCCATTTTGTTTTAGTCTGCAAAAACTAGGTGAACTTCTGTCTGTCCTAATTATTTTATTTGGCAAAATACTTGCATTTTGCTCCCTACACGTAGTCTACACGAATGTTGCACTCTTCACAAGTGTTTGAAATTGTTGTGACGTGCTCAGTACATTGTGATTTTCCGATCTCAGTCAATGCAGAACAAGCATGATGCTCTGGTAAGACGAGTGGATGAACTGGACGAAGAGTGCACTGACCTCCGAGACTCCCTAGCTGAAGCAGAGGAGGGGCAGGAACAGCTGATGGAACAGCTGAAGGAAACCAAGAGGGAGGTGGAAGAACTGAAGGAAGAGCTGCAGAAAGAAAAGGTGAAGATCGGATGGTGATTTGTTGTTGTTTTGTAATATTCAGGATTTTCCAACCTAGAAAAATTTCTGAGGGAAGTAAAGGGTTGAGGTGTTCAGACGCGAGATTCTTTTGCCCTAAGATTTGCATTTTCTGAAATTTTGAGGTGGCTTGACATACAAGTCTCTGCTAAGATAAGCCAGGAGCACTGATCCCAGTTTTAAAATTTTTGCATGACTTGTAATTTTTTTTTCAAAAAAGGGTTGCTTTGAAGAAAATGTGCCACATGTTGATTCATTAAGGTCAAACTTGATCTAAGTCTGTTCGTAAATTGTTAATTGGTTGAAACTTTTTTCAAATGTATTAAGAATTAAGGTTCTATAGTTTTATTGCTATTCTTAAATGCCAAAATATACAGCTAGGAGCATTTTGACTTGGGGAAAATCTGCATTACTTCACAGTCAAACTTGAAATGCAGCAGGAAAAAACATGTCCTTTCTTGCTCTTTTTCTCTTTTCCCAAGGCTTTGGCTGCCTCGATCCAAGAGGAGAAGCGATTCCTGGAAAGCTCCATCTCAGACCTGCAGACGATGATTGTGACTCTAGAGAGGCAGCTTGAAGACGCCCAAAGCAGGGAGAGGATGTTGGTGCAGTACCCTGACATGAACCCTGGGATAGTACCCCAGGGTCCTGTACCGACAGGTGTGGACATTGCATGCAATCTCAGCACTAAGAGTGTCATTTTACTGAGGACCTCCAGAGAGAACGTATTTTTGATAACTGATGGGTTTACCTTGGTGAAGGGAAATAATTACAATTATATCACTGCTGCTCGTGTGGCGTTCAGGTACCTTTCCCATTTTGTGCATATGGGTCATTCTATAAATTTAGGGTCCAAAAAGTAATACATTTTTGTGTCCCTGTTCACATGACCAGTGTTATTTGATATGGAAGCTGGATTTGAACCCCAGACCCTTCACTCCCAAGACCAGATTCCCGCTCACTAGTCCACTCCCGTTGTAGGAAAAACATCAGAAAGCAGACTGACCTGGATTGGAACCCCAGACCCTTCACTCCCAAGACCAGATTCCCCCTCACTAGTCCACTCCCGTTGTA